TACAGATATGCTGTTGGAAGCTGAGGCCACGACCAGTGCTTGGTGGCCTTCCCATATTGTCATTATCTTATGATACATAAGATCAGTAATGCTTGTCACTGTCTGTGTAGATTCCAATGGTTTTATCCGTGGTGCGCATACGGTTATTTCTTTGGAGGCTATGGCTGTACCTGCTAATTCCGTTTGTACCACGGTAGCATGCCCATCCATTGCCCACGATATCGGATATGCAAGGATCTGGAATAAATTCTACATCCTGCACCTTCCTTTCTATCTCCTGATGAGTAGCATCTGTTAAACGCAAACTGGGAATAAATATTATCAGTATCTACCTCCAGAAGGGACATGTTCCTGACGTCCCCATTGCATAGGCAACTAACTTCTCTACATCCTACATCTAGTAATTGCCTAAAAACTTACAAATGAAATTTCCTTGTACATTAACAATCAGTTTGAGACTATCAATGTGTTTTTGTCTTGTGTGGAACCTAATAAATTGTGTTCTGTCAGAGTTAAAGTATAACGATATTAAACCAATTAATTAAATAAATTCGAAATAATGAGTTCACATGTATGCTAGACATTAATGCTAGATTTTCCAGATACTAACAGTAACGTATCATCTGCGCAGTGCGAAATGTGATTTCATTATATAGACCAGTAATATTATTAACATATAAAAGAAAGAGCACAGGGCCCAAGACGGAGCCCTGGGGCATGCCCATATTTATATCGGCAATATCTCACTTGTACGTATGTGATGATTAATACTCACATACTAACTTCGATGTTTCAGATATGATAATACTCATTCCAGAGAATTAAAATTATATAAACATATGAATTATATTGTCAAGATAAATTAACGGCACCTGTGTAAGTGCCTAATGCTGTCTACCCTTTAAGCTGATATACTTCAGGATTTTGATTCAAAGACTTAGCAGATTCTACTCGTGCCCATATTTTTGCGGAGCGGTGGAAACTTTTTCAACTAAATAACTAGTTCCGAGCCCAGTGTTCTATCGTATTTTTCTATCGATATGGCCGCAATATGGGGATATTAAAAAGCAATAAAAACATGAGCGGATCTTGATTTGAACTTTTAATATTAAAGTTGGGGCGAACGAGGCACGGCCAGCTGCCTGAATATAATGAAACTTGTTAAAAGTTCATGTTTAGTTAGTTGCAATCTGTATTTTTCTGACACTCGCCAGTGCCATAACTCTTTTCGGGTGTTGTCGGAAACCAGAACTTGCTCCTAGCCGCGCAGTTAATTATACCCGTGAAAAGAAAATTAATCAAAAACTACACAATTGTTACTGGTTTCCGTCTTGGTCTTTCCGCGCTTCTGATAAAATGTTATGGATTTGAACCTATTGCGATTTTATTAAATTCATAGATCGCTTAATTACTAAACAAAATAGAGTTTTTTTAATTGTTTAGAAGGGAGATATTTCAAATAAATACCTCTTTGTATTTCTTCGTCTCCATACCAGTACAAATTGCTTTGCACATTTCTAAAATAAATCTAAATAAATACCAAGCCCATATTGCAAATGTCTTCTCGTTATCCCTAAAATGTCTACAAATTCCTGATTAAACTATCAAGCAAATATTTCAAATATACACATCAACCCTTCTACTGAAATGCTAATATTTTACGCATTTCAGAACTATTTAGAACTTCGAAATATTCTGCTTAAATTAGATACTCCGTTGTTTCCATCATTGGCCGTACTCTTGTATTGTCAGTTTTACCTGAATTGCCTACATTCGACTTATTCACAATTCTATGTAAATTATAAACGAATGCCTTCCTTAAACTATGAATTTTTCGACTTTTTGTTCCTTGTTTTCCTTATATTTACCTCCTCACTTTCCTGTATTCCTAATAAAGCTTCTGCCACGGATTACGGTTTTAGTTTAGTATTTCCAACCCTCTAATTTGGGAATGACCGGAATTTTTACCGAAATCTGCTTAGGGTATGATCCCGGCTCCAATTTATTTGCCCTTAGCCACACTGGATACACCCTCGGGATGGCACTGGTTTCCGAGGCTTTCAAGTAACCCTTTTTTTATTAAAAATGTTTTTGGCATCTCGAGTATAAGTACTCTAGTGTCTATGTCACCATTTATGTAAGCTTTGCCTTGCCTGACCACTGGCTTGAGGTCGCCTAAGAGTACCTAGGTTTGGAAGCTACTTGAAGAGTACATTTTTGACGTCTCGTTAGAATACCTGACCTAATTTTTGAAATGCTTTGAAATCCAACGAAATTGCTTGGAACTTTGAATAGGACATTTTGTCATATTTTTATTAAACTAAATTAAAATTATAGTTATTTGTACGTATTTATATTTATGCTTTTATGTACCCATATATTAGCGTATTTAATGTAAAACGCAAGGGAAAAACTGAAAAGTCTGAGAATTTTTATTTGGCCGAATCTATCCGATGATTTTCGACTGCATCTTGGAAAATAAACGAGATGCCTGTAGCCAATAACAATTACAATTACAACACAAAAAATCTAAAAAAACCGTATCAGGTGTTCTTAGGGAATTGCATGATTAGATGAGGAATAATTATTGTTAATTATTTTACTATATTCATACATTTTTTTGTATGTATTTTATTATATTATTTATGTATTATAT